GGTTGGTACTTGTGATGTGTTAGGACTTAGACTTAATTCTGGCTTTGTAAAGACAATATGACTTAATGTCTTGAACCAGAACCAGTCCCAGTGTATGTACAGCCCTTCTCTACCTGCTAAGCTTCACACAAGGAGAGAAAAAAAAATACACAGATGAAAGTGTTTTGTAAATTGTATTATGTTCTGCAGATTGAAAAGTTATTATTGATGGTAAAAACTGAAAGTTGCTGCCTTTCATTTGATAATATGCCCAGCTCTTCAGGGTAGTAGAGAAGAGAGAATCTGAAGTTGTGTGCGGATATGTGTTGGCAGGGGAAAAAGGGACTGTATTGCATGAATCTCAGAGCAAGACCCCTCTTAAATTTTGCACCCCAGGCACCTTGCTTTCCTCACTCTAGGCAAAGCCCAGGTGTTTTCTTGGGTGAGGTGGCTTCCTTCAGCTAAGAGCTGTCAGCTATCAACATCTCTAGCAGATGAGAGAATATGTGCTTTAGTCCTGGAGAGGGGAATCTGGGCAGCATATCCCAAAAGCCACTAAAACTGTGGAAAAGTTTTGGCAGTCTCTTATAAAGTTAAAATACACCTACTTTATGACCCTGTACATCCATTCTTAGTTATATTTCCAAGAGACATAAAAGCAAGTGGAAAGAAATGAAAGCACAAAAATATATGTACAAGAATATCCATAGCAGTTCCAAACTGGAAACAACCCGTTTGTCTAGCAACAGCTAAATGGAGAAACAAATTGTGCTATATTACCACACTTCAGTGCTAGTCAGCAACGAATACCTCTCACAGATAAGTCTCTGAAGCACTATGTTAAGCCAAAAGGGTATGTATAATTTTGTATGATTCAGTTTATTCTGTATGATTCAATTTATATGAGCTTCTAAAACAGGCAAGGACTAATTCAAATTTTAGAATGGCTATCTCTGACATGGGAGATTGCCTGGTAAAGGCCACGAAGAACTTTCTGAGCAATAGGAATGTACTAAATATTGATATAAATGTCAATTACACAGGTGCACACATTTGTCAAAACTCATCCCTTTATATACTTAGAATTCTAATTCTGTAAAATAAAAGTATAACCTAAAAAATATTCCATTTATTTTTGTCTAATTGGGGACAGGCACATTCTTAAGGCTTTGGACCCTGTCAATGGTTACTCACATGAGAAGGATTTTAAAGCATTTCTCACACTATTAGACCATGGGCATCACAGAGAGGCTACTGGCTTCAGATAAAATAAATATTCAGTACACAGAGGAGAGGGACCATACAGTAGAAAGAGATGCCATTGTAGGACAAAGGAAATAGAGGAGGATATTGGCCCTAGGATAATATACATCTAGTTAAACATTTTAGAGGAATTCTCTGTATGGCACCTACTCTCCCAAAGTGCAGTTGGTACAAATTTGGTGCTTAAACTTTGAGCAACTGTAGTTGGCCGTGAAAATTAGTAATCTGCATAAACAGTAATAAAGGCCTGGATAGCCAAGGTGACACCTTGGTGTGATAAAATGCCATAGAACTTGGGCAATGCATATAAAGGAATTCAGAACAGAACAGAACAATATGTAATTGTTCTTAAACTAACCACGTAGGAAACAATATATAGTTCTTTTCAATATTGTGGTTTGTTTACTGTCAGAGAATTCGCTTTAAGAATAATCCCAGAAATGTCCTTAATAAGTAAAACCTACTTGATTATTCTAATAAATATGCAGGAAAAAAAATCACACAAACAGCTTCCCTTACATAATGTCATTTAACAAGTCCTATTTCTACATGAATTTATTCAGTAGTATTACATTGTGTTTCACATAATTTTAACTTAATTAAGTGGAAACCAACTAAAATAGGGATATCATAAAAAATTTCCAAAATTTCATCAAGTTTTCATCCCACAAACTGCCCTGGTTTAATTCCTGCTCTTAGAGCCTCTATGATTTCTTCTCAAAGTAACCAGGACTGTTTGTATTTTCTATGGCTAAATTGGGTGAGGAGAGAGAGAGGGGGATGATTTTTCTAAAAGCTTTATACAAAAATGAACCCCAACTTTATAAGCATCAGAGTTCTAGTTGGTCAGTGGTCAGCTTCATCTGAAAAAGCCAACCTTTCAAAATTTTTTCTAATTATGAAAAAGGGTTGATATTCTTTTCATTAATTAATTCATTCAAACTTTTATGCTTAAAATACTTACTGAGCACCTGTTATAGGCCACATATTAACATTTGATGCCAAGTCAAGGCACTTGTATTCAAGGTACTTGCATTTTATTAGAGGAGATAAATCTGAACAACAAGGTAATTAACACAATGTTAATTTATTTAAACACATTTCTGTTAAGGTTACTTTGAAAATTGGTGTTGGGACACAAAGCACAAAAAGTTTGGTGTGAGTTGGGAAATGGCCTGATGTAAAGCTAAAAACCTACATCATTCATTCTTTCATTTTGATCCCCAGTTGATCAGTAGCACGGGTTATTCATGATGGCATTTACCCCTCTCCTTTTACCCTCAATTTTTCCTTGCAGGTCTAAGTATTTTTGAAAAATAGATGACACACTCAAAGCAAAGGGTTTTACTATTTGTTTAATTAACTAGAAACACTATTATTTTCAGGTTTGGACCATTAAGTTGGCAAAATCTTCTTTCTGAATGTCATGAATCTCAGATTTAGTGGAGACTGACACTGATTTATAGAGACTGGCAGCAAAGGCCGTCTTTCTATCAGTCTTCATCTATGCCAAAGTAACTGATATAGAGCTCCTATTATTCCTGGTGCTCAGTCCTCTGTCTTTAGGGAATCCAGTTGTTTTATCAGTAGCTTCTGGTTTGCTTTTCAGTGCATGAGTGTGCCTGTATTACTTATTCTGAAATTCTCAAAGTGCATACACTGAGACTTTCCCTTACTCAACCAGGGGGAAAGTTTATTTCTTTAAGCTTTGTTTTTATTGTTCTTTCTTTCTCTTGGATGTTTCCCAGTTTATACCTTTACTTCCAGGCATAGGGTTATTACTAGCCTCCAATGGAGGCATTTTTTTACCCCAATCTGCTCATCTATTGCTCCTTCAATTCTTTCCATAGAACATTTGATAAAAATAATAATTGCAATCATCAGGCTCAAGCTATATGCCAGGAATTGACTAGTTGTTTTATATAGAATATATTTAGCCCTACCAATAATCCTGCAAAGTAGGCATACTATTATCCTGATCTAGCAATAAGGAGACCCCAAATTGAAACCCAGATCTCTTGACTCCAAATGTTAGGCTTTTCCCAGGTTACCATTTTGCTTTTTCTAGAGGCAGAGTGCCAGGAAATTGTTAGTTATTTAATAGCTGTTTGTTAAATAAATACATAAATGAACGTGTGGAATCTCCTAAATTTTGCTATGGTAAAATGCTGAAAGTATAGCATATAGTATGCATAATTGGTAACTGGCAATACACTTGTTCACAGGAATTAGAAAATAAGGAACTAGAAAAATTGAATATACATGATACAAGACATTGGACAATATGGAATTATACTTCATGAGAAAAGGTAAACAAATGAAGTGAGCCCCACAATCAATTCACTTTTCAGGCTGGATGCATTCCCTGGAATGTGGGGCAGGGAGGGAGAACCCCAGCAAAGCTTTTAGTTTTACCGAGTTGAGAAAACAGATGAACTGTTTGGGGAGGACTGAGTGACTTGAATTTCAGGGTAAAGTACCAGAAGAGGGAGGTAAACCCAGAAAGAAATCCAGAAATATGCACAGGAGTCCCCTTGAGTCAAGCCGAATACTCAGCGTGTGTAGAGTGGGACTCCCTGAGGTCAAGCGAGAACAAGCATCCGAAAAAGACCTGGTATGAGCCACACCACTTCTAGAGCTAAAAGGATTGCAAGCCTAAAACCCCATTTAAGAAGAAGTCTCTAAGGAAAGCTAGAAACTACAGGGTACACAAAAATAAAGACATAAGATGGAAGTGCAGCCTGTGACATCTACAGTTAGAGAATACAGTAAACACAGCCTAACTCCTAGCCAGGTAAACTTTAAACCTCCCACTAAAGGCCCATTTACTTCATACATTATGTCAGACTATCAACAAAAAAGTGGAAGAAATTATGGAAAAGCAAAAACCACAATCTGAAGAAAGAAAACAAACATCAGAACCAGACTTGTATATGGCAGAAATTTTGGAATTACCAGCCCAGGAATTTAAAAATAATTACAATTACAATGCTAAGGGCTCTAATGGAGAAAGTGTATGTAAAATTGAAAGGCAAAACAAAGACACTTTTAAACAAGCAAAAGATGACAGACTATATCACCTGCAGACGTGCATTATGAGAAATATCAGAGGACGTTCTTCACTTGAAGGTAAATGACCAGATGGAAACTGGGATTTACAGAATGAAAGAACAGCATTGGTATTGTAAATATAATGGTAAATATATGGGTATATAGATAAGTATAAAATGCTTTTCTCATTTTAAGAGAACACTGATTATTTAAAACAAAAAAACAATTTATGTGTGACATTTATAATATATGCAGAGGCAAAATGTATGAGTATCACAAAGTAAGAGAGAGAGAAATGAAAATATACTGTTATAAACTTCTTACATTATATGCAAAATCATTTACGATTATCTGAAAATGGACTGTGTTAAGTTAAAGAGGCCTGCTATAGATCCCAAAGCAGACTACTAAATAAATAAAACAAAATGTGACTGTTAATAAAAAAGATAAAATGTAACAGCAGAAATTATGCAATTAACCCAAAGGAATCAGGAAAAAAGGGTAAGAGAAGACAAAAAACAAAGGAGATAAATAGAAAACAAGTAACAAGATGGCAGCCTTAAACACCACCATACTGGTAAGTAACTTAAATGTAAATGGTAAGAATATATTCATACACATAAGACAATAACCTAACTAAAATTACTAACATATTTTATAAAATCATATATTCACTGAGTGTCCAAGTCACACTAATCTAAATTTAGGGTAGTGTTCACCAAATTCTCTCCATTCTTCAGGGCTAGTTCTGGAAGCTGCTGCATCAAGCTTTAGGAGGGCTAACAGTGATGGGAATGGACAATACAGGAGCTTCCGGCCTCCCTCAGAGAACTGGCCCAGAGCAAGGACATGGAGATACATATGAAATTTGGAATAAATGGCCATTACAGACCCACAGGTCAAAGCAACTCTTAGTTCTTTCTTCTATTTTATGTATATATGTATATATATTGACCAATTCTTTCTTTATTCCTTACTCTCAGTGTTTTATATGAGGTATATTGGTGGTAGTTGCCTTTCTATTTAATTTTTAGGTAACATAAACTCAAGGTGCAGTTGACTCATGGATATGGTACTCAATGAGGCTTTATGTCTCTCAGATTTGGGTACACATGAGAGGATCTTTGTATTAGGAAGAAGTGCATTGTGTTCTGGGGAATCATGATTCTGTTATTGATGGAAGTTAAATACGGCTAAAAAGATGAGAAGGAATTTAAGTAAATGTTGGTGGAAGCTGATAATTTTCCCTTTTGCTGTCAGCTCAGGTATGTATGGCAGGGGGCTAGACTTCTGCACACGACACTTTCAGACTCTCTTGATGGCTGTCTCCCTTCCCTGTCTGTTGTACCAGTGGGAGGTATTAGCAGTAGATGGTAAAGCAGGAGTAGAAATGGAGAAAGGAGACAGACGGGGGAAAGTCAATGTTCTTGTTTGTGCTTTCGGAGTTGCCTCTGGCAGAAGTGGCGGCTGGCTACTGCAGCTGCCTTCAGTAGATCTTGCAGCCGTAAATCTGGTGGGTGATCGATTGCTAGGGACTGCCAGAAGTTATGGGCTTCAGTGCTGTCATCAGGTGCAGAGGTCCTGGCTGCTGCCACAGAATAGAAGGAGTAGGTTCATTCAGCAGCTGCAGGGTGGGCAGTGAGCACTCTCCCAGGCTCTGCTAACACCACCTCCTTCCTTTTGCACCTTGAGTTCCAGGGGTAGCAGTAGCTTCCTCAAGTCACTGATCTCTGGGATGATTTAGCATTTCCCTCTTTGGCTTCCTTTGCCTTCAGATGCTTTTAGAACTAGGTGCCTTTATCACTCTCTTCTCCACCTTTCAGCCCACAATTTGAAATGGCTTGTGTGGTTTGGATTTTTCTGATGAGACCGTGACTGGTACAGGGGAGAGAAGAGATTTAAACTGACTTAAATTCCTTCTAAAGAGTTTTCTAGTATCTATCTGCATGGAAGGATAGACCGACTTGTGTGGTACTCAGCACAGCCGGTCTGGCCACATCACTTCTGCTCCAGCTTCTCCCATTCTCAGGTCTTCAGGTGTGTTCAAACAGATAACACGTGCTTAGCATTCAAAACGTTAAATCTGGGATGCATTTATTAGGTACTGCGATGGTTTATATGACCTTAAATATCCCTTCTAGTCCTTGTATTTTTAGAACATTGGGTTGTGCCCTAGGGATCACTGAGAGATGCTATACATTTTTTGAAGAGACTCATAAGCCCATATAGGCACACTAATTGTATGCTGAAAAAATGTCTAACACCTCAAAGTATTACCATTTCTTACATAAGTGTATTAGATTATTTTAGGATTAGTATATAAATTAATTTATGCATTAGTGAATACACAGCTACTTTTATAACTGCAGTTTTAACAATCAACACCAACTAATAAGACTATTTTTTGTATAATGGGGTATATCTACAAATTCTTTCACATTTAAAAAAGGGGCACTTTTACCTGAAAAGGTTGGAAATTACAATAGTAGAACTCTGATCCTCAAATTCAAATAGCATAGCTTCAGTTCAGATGCTTCGGTTTTGAAGTTCCAAAGCTTGTGGTGGTTGAGGGTAATTTTCTGGTTGAGGATAATTTGATTAAGATTTTACTTATTTAAACTGTAGTATTACTAAGTTACTCCGATTTAATATTCTTAGGTCATTAGGGGATTCTGTAACAAATGGGCTTTTGTTGGTAAGATAATTAATTTTATGAACAAGTGTAGTTTTTGTTTCCTCTTCGAGAAGAAATTTTAATTCTACCCTAGGAGCTCAAGGAGAAAACTTTGAGAATATCAGTGAAATATGACTAAGATGAGCTTAAGATATATTCCCTATTTTTTTCCCCACTGTTAATACATGTATTGCCATTTTATGACATTAGATTAACTAACATGGTTATTTCTGTCATAAAAATGAGTAGTGAAAAGTATTGTGGTTCACAGAGGGGAACTATTGTTTATTGGTGGCGTACAAAGAGTAACACACTGAACCAGGCCACACACACACACACACACACACACACACACACACAATTTTAACAGGAGCTCCAAAAATGTAACAATTTGTCCAGAGCTAGACAGTTAAAGCTAATTAACAGAGGCAAGACTTAAATATATCTTTGGTTAAGAGCTATATTTCACACAGAATACCTGGGTTTAAATCCCAATGCCACCAGTAATTATCTGTGTGACCTCGGTGTAATCACCACCTCTAGCCTCAGTTTCCTCATCTGTAGAATGGGAACAGTGATGCTGCCTTTATACGTGGTTTGAGAATTAAATATATATAATGCACATAGCATAGTATCTAGCACTGTGGGACACATAGTATAACCATTGTAAACGTTAAAGCCTGCTATTTTTATAACACCCTATTTCCTTTAAAATTAGAATTAGTAAAATTGATGTTTAGACCTGATTCTATCATTAACAACTAAAGCTGTGCAACTTTCAAAAAGTCACTAAATCTCTGATGTTCAGTTTTTTCATCTGTAAAATAGAGATAGTAATTCTTTCCCAGCCTTTTTTGCAGGTTGTCATCACAAAATTAAAGTGAGATGAGAAGGCAAACATGCTCTATGTACAAAAGTGAGTTGCTGTTACTTATCTACTTTTTTTTTTAGCACTTCACCTTCCTTAGAGTTCATCTGTTTTAGGAATAAGGTGTTGCCTTGTTTAAAGTTTTGATTTATTCTTATATAAGTTGAAGTGTCTCCAGGAAAGGGTGTGAAAGCTCTGTTTGAAACTCATTGCCAGTTTTAATATTTCCTTCTTTTCCCAGAGAAGTGCTCAATTTAGCAGTAGAGCAAACAGGACAATTTCCCACTGTTTGCTTCTCTAGACAAAGGAAGGGACAGTAACTTGGAGTTTTGAGCTGACGTAGAGGATGTTTCTTGATATCTTCAGCTTGAACTTGACAAGAGAGGCTGATGTATGCTGCCAGATCCATTCTCTTCATAAGAAACCACTTGTCAGGTGCTACATTTCATTTAGTGATTTTCCAGGCACCTCACATCCTTTTTGGAAAGAGGTTGATCATGGACATAAATATAGAGACAAAAATATCAACTTTCCTTCCAACTGAGTGTAAGTTATTCAGCATAGCCAAAATGAACTGTATGTGTGGATGTCATCTCACTATTTTATTTTTTAAATGATTACTATAAATCTGGCAATGATATTCCCCTTGCAAAGACATGTCTGCATAGCCTGTAATCTTAGATTTCTCTTCAACCTCCCCTTCTCCACCCTCTGGGCCCAGATCCTCATCCTTTCTCACCCAGCCATCGCTGCAGCTACTAGATGCACCTCTCAAATTATCCAGCCCCTTTACAATCCAATGTATGCCTTATTTCCAGAGAGATGTCTTTCCGATACAGATCTGAGCATGTTACTTTCGATTTCTCCCTGTTACCTACAGGACAAAATGCACAGCTTGTGCGTAACATTGCTCGCAAGAAATACTAGTTTTCTTACATGCTTTCATTGCTTGGCATGGTACTTAAGGCCTTGGGTCTAGCTCTGTCTGCTCCGACATTTTCATCTTCCTCCACCTTCTTCCGCCTTTACAAATTTGCAGCTATCTGAGGCATCTTGCTCCCCAGAGAAGGTTTAAACTTCTATAGTTCCATGCCCTTTTCTCTCTCTTCTCCCTGCATGGCAAATTTGTATGCATATTTCCAGAATCAGTTTCCTTGGGCCGTGATTTTGCAGACTTACTTGCCTGCATTCCAGCCCACCCTCCAAGGCAGGTTCAGCTCCCCTAGCTCTGTGCTTCCCTAGCGCCAGGGTCCTCCGGCAGCTCCGAGATGGCACTTGAGTATTAATCTATAGCATTTGTGTACACAACTGTTTCTCTCTTTAAACTGTGAGTTCCTTGAGGGTAGAGACTACCTGTCTTATTTTATTGTTTGAGTCAACTAGTGCCAAATATATCTCCTGGCACAGTATAGTAGACTGTACTGGCTCAACTATGGATTCAGACCGACCTGGGTAGGAAGTCCAATGTCATTACTTACTAGTTGTGTAATGTTGGCAAAGTTACCTAATTCCTCTTGATTTAAGCTATTTCATCTGTGTAAAACACCTATCTCAGAAAGATGTTTTAAAAATCAAGTGAGTTATTTTTGTAGTTTTAGAACAATGTCTGGCACAGTGCCTCTGTACGATTAGCTGTTATTATTTATTGTTTTTATTATTATTGCTACCTCTTACAATTGTTGGGAAGATTGCAAAAGATTACTCATACATAGGAAGTGTTTAGCATAGTAACTGGCATGTTCCCTACAGATTAGATATTTTTATCATTATTACTTTTATAATGAAAGATTGTTCAAGAGGTGAATTTCCTGTTTTCTTACCAATTGCCCATCAGACAATATCCTGGAAAGTTGCACTAGCTCCAAAACTCAGTAGGTCCAAAATTTGTCACAATATTTCCCCTAAAACTGGCTTCTGTGAAAATGCTTGCTGGAGCAGCCACATCAATGTTCTCTTCTCCCCCCTCCCTCCCTTCCTGCCTCTTTCTTCTTTCCTTCCTTTCCTAATTATCCCATTTCAATCACCTTTCTCTGGTGTTTTGGGTGAAAATCCATGAAATTACTTGAAACTCTGCCTTTCCTTTTCCCAGACATGATCTTTCACTGGTTCCCAGGATATTAGCCATTGAAAGAAGTCTGGGATGCATATTTGTTTCCTTTCCCATTGCCACCTCTTTGTTGAGGTTCATTCCACCTGGACACCTGGATCACTTCCTATCATTCCATAGCCCCTTTAGGGCAGGGACCCAGCATCACCACAGTGCAAGGCACATGGCCAGTAAGGGGTCAAAACCTTAACCTCCAAGGGGGTCCACAGGGTAAATGGTGATGGTGAGCGTGATGTAGTGCAGAGGTCACTTCTCATGAGTCACTGTAACAGAAAGTGCCTGCTCATGGCTTTCATGTGGGAATGCTGGTGTTGCTGGAACTTATAATATTTTAAGAAAAACTACTAATTTATGGAGTCTGCTAATATATAAATGATAGCATTAGTTCAGATTTAAAAATCCCCACTGTCTGGGCTAAACAAGGCTGCCAGTCAGATTTGGCACACAGGTAGACCGGTTATGGCCTAAAAGCACCTGTCTAAGATGGTGCTCAAGAAACATTCGTGAGAACAAATGGATCCAGGACTTGCTCTCCCTCTAGTTCTTTGTTTAATCACTTTCTTCCTCCTGGATTTTCCCTTCTTATTCAATCCCATCTTCAAAATGCTGGGTCTGTTTCTCTTCTTTCTTATCTTTCATGCCAATTGCTCATACCAGCTGAGGGCCTACACTATTCTAAGCACTGAAGGTGAATTGATAATAAGCAAACATTATCCCTGCAGCAGTTGATTAAATAATGGACAAAATCAGGTTGTTTATGGTAGTGGCAAAGAGAAGCAATCGTTCTCCAACTATTTTGAAAAATGGTTTTCTCTTCTTTGGTACCACTGCACTTGGAGGACAGTTTTAAGTTAAATCCTGTGTCAATAACTGGACTATAAGTAGTTCATGCTTTACTAGTGTCTAACTAGATTGTGGATTCCTCAATGGCAAGCAACTTGTATTACACATCACTTATATTCAGTGCTCCTGTAGAGCATCAGATTGTCAGGTATACAAATGGCAACAAAAAAATCACCTACAAGCCAGTTAGGACTGGCATTTGTTTAGTTATTAGATTTAGTTAGGAGGGGAATCGTATTTTTCAAAATTTATGTAACAGGCTTTCAGAGCATAGCTAAGCCTTCTCCTTTGCCTGCAGGTCCATTGATTACAGTGCCTGGTTGCTTCTCTTAAATGGTTGTCCTCATAAGTTCTATAACTTTCTCACTAAAAATTTGACAATAATCTTTTACCAGGGGACCTTTAAATAGCTGTTATGTAGCAATTATCTGTATTTTCATACAAACAACAAATCTCTTTCTAAAAATTCATATGTTATTAGTTCACATGATGTTTAATGAAATTTTATGATAACTTTCAGAAATACAACTAGAATAAAGGTATGGAAACAGATATGCTGACTTTTGATCAACAATTCACTGAGCTGGTGGGGGATGAGTTTCTGGCATGGGAGAGACCAGTCCACTAGCACTGGATATCCAGTGTGCAACAGGCATGTCTCCATCTTTTGCAAAACAAATGGAAACTATTGATTCTATCAGGTCTGTTAGGTTAACATTCAGCTAGGTCCACTCCATTGATTGGATTCAGGTACATTAATGGCTTCTTTGCAATAATAATTCCTCACCCATTTATATGTTCAGTGTCATTTCCAAGGTTCATTTACTTATATCATCATGCTTCCATAGGACCCCTATGAATGATACATTTTTCCCATTTTAACATATAAGGAGCATAACTTTAAGAGGGGATGAAGTGACTTCCCAAAGATCACATAGCTTGAAAATAACAAGAGAGGAGACTAGAACCTTGTTCCTGTCTGACCCAAGTCCAGGGCCCTTCCTGCTCCCCAAGCACTACTTCTCCAAACCAGGCTAAATGAACGCCAAGACCTAAAGGGGTCTTGTCCTCATAAGTTCTATATAAGTTAGAGGACATCTAACATGCTCTGATTCTGTGACATATTAGCTATGTCCTGTGTACCTCATCCATTCTACTGCTAAGAGCTAGCTATCCCTTTGTAGCTCTGTGGCCACTGGCTTGACATGGAAGGGAGAGGGAGATTAAGTAGAGGGCCAATTAGTTTCAGATTGGTTGGGTAAATATTTCACAACATCTTTTGGGTTTGTCCCCCTCTCCTTTGATGAATAGCTGTTGCCTTTTTTTGACAGATTGATCTTGAGTGATGGGTATTTTTCTCTCACCACATTAGCTGCCAGTTTTCCAGGCTATCCCCCCAGGACTGAGATGAGGTGAGAGGTAAGTTGTTTGTAAGTATGACTTGACTGAGCAATGCAACCAGACTGAACGTTCAGAAAGCCCTTCTGCGCTTGGAGCCAGCTTTCATGTCTTGGAAATCCTGATTTATTTCAGGACAGGAAAAATCCGAGCCAGTTTGCAGGGTGGAAATTAAAATCTTAAAAACTATGTATGAAAATCGAATATTCCAAATGGCCTGGTTTAAACATCACCCTGCATCGTTGATCAAATGTAAAAGTTCTTTTTATGACTTTTATGACTAGGTGTAGGACTGGGGAAAGCCTTGGTGAATATTTATGGGTAACCTCAAGGAATTCCACTGACTGTACTTCAGTCTGCTTTTGTACCCACAAGTTTCTTTGGAGATTTCAAGCCTGCAAATGCTTATGGATTGAAAAATATTTTGGTTTGGCTGTATTCTGTTAAATTGTGAATTTTGGGGAGTGGGAGAGAGACTATATATATTAATTTGGACACATTTAAGATACTATATATATGTATGCATATGTTTTTATTCCTTTAGATTTATGTCTGTGACTTTCTTGAGGACAGGACCTTTGCTTTAACTATCTCTGTGCCCCCAGACCTAATGTAGTTTCTGGAAAATAGGCAACACCCTAGAAATGCCTTACTGATTCACATCATTTAGTTAACTTTGTTGAACTCTCTGTGTGCTAGGTCCTGTGCTAGCTGCTGAGGGAGGTCCAGGGACAAATAGAGACAATGGGATTTTCAAATAGAGTTCAACTTTCAAAATGAACTTCACTTTAAAACTTAAATAAATAAAAAGGCAGAGCATAAAAACAACTAGCTCACAAATTAATTGCTTTTTTGCAAACTTCAGTAACTAGCCATGCAGATCTGCAAGTGCTGGTCATTTCATATAGCAATCTTCGGTGTATTAGGAAGAGGTATGGAAGCCAATCTGAGTCTTATGGTCCTTTCAACTAGTGAAGAATGAGATGTATACATACAACACTGGCTACTGGAAAGGTGGGTGGCAATGGTGTAACCACCATCAATAAATTCCAAAATATAATTGTAGGTATTTCCATGTAAATTACCTTATTTAATCCTCCCAAAGGTTGTGTAGCACTGGCACTGTTACTTATGTTTTTTAAAATGCTGTTTCTCATCCTAGAAGTTCTTCCAGTTTTGATCTGCTAAACATTCCTCATCTTTCAGGAACCACCTCCAAAGACATCCTTTCTGTGATTCTTTTCGCTCAAAACCAGCCAGATTCCATAGGCTCTTTCCTTTCTGCTTCCATATGTAAGACTTTGCATATTCCTCAAGCATGACACTTAAGCTAGTGCATTGCAAATACAGTCCTGTCTCCATGTTGGGCTGCGAGCTCTTCAAATGGCTTCCCCATCACACTTGTCCCCAGCCAGTTGCTCAACCTAGAACTTAAGGAGCTTTTCTTAACACTTTTCCAGTCTACATCAGTGAGTCACCAAATCCTTCACCTTTTCCCCCTAAATAACCTGAGGCCTCCAAATTCCACTCACCTGTACTGGGGTCACCTTAGTTTCGATGGACGTCATGTCTCCTCAATCTACAGCAATAGCCTCTTGACTCCTCTCATTGTCATCCCCCTGCTGTCCTGTAAATTCCCACTGCAGCTGCAATAAATCCCACAGATGTTAATGTCACATGCAGGAGCCTCTGCAGCCTGGCTCCTCCCCTCCTCTCCAGCCCCATCTTGTACTTTTGCCCACTGCTCTTCAAACAGTTTTACCTTTTCTTTGCCAAGTGCTTTTCCACTGCATGCTCTTCCCTCCGCCTAGAATGCTCTTTCTGCCACTCTTCACCAAGCCAGCTCCTGCTCAGTCTTCAGATTTTAGGTCAAATGATGCTTTCACAGAGTGGGCTTTATTGAGCCCCTAGGATCCTTTTCAGATAATTCATTTTCGTTTTTTTTTCTTTTTAGCACCAATCAGAACTTGCATGCATGTGTGCATGTATATATTTGCTTCATGTCTGTCTCCTTCACTGGAATGCAAGACTTGTTGGAGAAAATACTAGTTGTCTGTTTGCCTTTTTACATTATTGTACATCTAGTACCTACCTAGTGTCTGAGAGTGCAGTGGGTGTTTACTATTTATAAAAATTTAAATAAATGAATGGAGAAAAATAAAGTTCTCCAAATGAGACCATCACACCAGTATTACTGAATATGTCCCTTATTTTTGTTTAGTGTGTTTCACCCTAGCAAAGGTAAATTAAATATTAAAAAAAAATTTCCATCAGTTGTAAGTTTCCTTTAATTCCCACTTTTCCTTCACCAAACAGTATTTGGAAGGTGCTACTTGCCCCACTGATGAGAAGCATGCATCTGGAAATGTCCCACTTTCTGTCCATGCACCTGTAGGTGGTCCATTCCTGGGCTCACCTGACCCCCATGCCCCAAATGAAGACAGGTCTCTTCACTTTGGAGAAGGTCATTCAGCAAGCTATGTTAGTCCCATTTCACATTGTAGAAACTGAGGCAAGCAAGAAATGGTGTAACCTGGCTGAGCTACAGCAGGGTCCCCTGGCTGCCTGTCAAAGAAGATGGATGAGACAGCCAGGGAAAGTGGGAAGGATTCAAACCACATCCTTGGTGCAGGCTGTCAGCAAGGCTGATTGCAGGTAACCACACTTAACATCCTACCCTCGGTCTGTAGGGCCCCGGTGTTCTGCGATGGGAGCCCAAACACAGCCACCTTGGTGCCAAAAAAGAAATTCTCCCTCAGAATATTTCCCAAACAACATTTTTATTTGGAAGAAACCTAGCCAGATGAAAACACACACAGTGTTTTCTTCTCATGTATTTCCCTGCCAGCACATATATGTATATATTCTTTTTTCTTTTGTAGTCCTGACCACCCTGACATTATAGTTTTTATTTTGAGGAGATTTTAAAATAATTTTCCTGTAACTCATTCATCTTCCTGTCCTGAGGTGGAGTGAATTTCACATTTTCCAGCCAGTCTTAATGTAGCAGAAACTATCAGAGATGCAGCTGTGACTTCAGGTGCTAGAATAGAGGGTAGAGTTGGAGCAGGTGGGCTGGGCCAATAAAATACAACTGGGAAACAGGAACCCGGAGAGAAATCTCCCCAAGTTGCCCTATGCAGGGGTCTGGCCATGCTTTCCTGTGAAACCTAGCTAGCCTCTGGTTTCCTTCCCTATTCCTTCCTGGGCTCCAGATGTGCTCCCATCTCGGACCTTCCTTGTTCCTATTGCAGCCCCCCTTTGGCCACACTAAACATTGCCTCTCATGTATAGAGCAGAGCCGTGGCCCAGCTCATTTCTGCTTCTTGCCCCAGATTCTGCCGTACTGGTTAGGCTTATGGCAAAAACAGCAACAAATTTACCCCCCATCCTACTATTATTTGCTCACTTTTCCAAGTAACTCAGGACAGAGCTCCCCATGAAGACAAACAGAACATCCTTGATTGGTCCTAAAGAAACTGGGATAATTTCTTCCAACTTGTTTTCTGTTTATTTCATTGTTCCAAGCATGAACTCATGTAATCCACCTGCAAGTTGAGTTCTAGATTATCTTCCTGAAGGTTATCTGTAAGAGTATTATTCAAACTACTCTTGTGGTTTCCCTCTGGGCCTTTACTGAATGCTATTTCCCTGGCCTTGAATAGTCTTCCCTGGGGCTTTCCTGTTGTTACACATTCCTCTAGGCTCAGTTCTCGCTCTACATCCTTCAGCATGAAGCCTTCTCTGTGGACTGAGGATTTAGGGATAAGAGTCTATGTTCTAGCTCTGGGATATCTGGGTTTGCATCCCAAGTTATTCATTTACTAGCTGTGCCACACAGAACTGTTTGCTAAATCCTGTGCCGCACTTGCTATACCTGTAAGTGGGAATAATATTAGTATCTATTTCATAGGACTGTTGAGAAGACTTATTCAGTTAAAACATGTGAAGTAGTTAGAATAGCTAGGGGCTCAATTTCATCCTCTCTACACAATCAAGCTGGTTTGGACTTCTGTATAACTCATAAAACTTTCATTCACTCTTTAAGTAAATATTTTAAAAGTTACAATATTCTAGGAACACTGCTAGGCACTGGGAAGAAAGTGTTCACAGCCTACAATACTGTGTGTACAATATTATATGTTTGCCTTCTGTTCTTGCTCTCAGGTTGTAAAAACTGAATGTAGAAACTTTCATTCCTTTCTGGAGACCCCACATACTAGTTTCTCAGTGCATATATTCTAGACTGAATTAAGATTTTCTATGGATGAAAGTGGTGTCATAGAGATGGACCCTGAAGGATCCATATTGTACTGTCTGATCATCCTTGATCTCTTGGAAGATTTATGTTTAACATTATTACTTACTTATGAAGAGAGTCATCTGTCCTTTAAAGAGCATTTGATAATATATGAAACTCATAGTTTGTGTAAAAGAATAACGTATCAATAACAAAACTACACTACCACCATCATGTGTGCTGTCACTGTCATCACCACCATTACCATCACCACCTCCATCAGCACAACTCTCACATTATGTGAACCATTATCACCATCACACTCTCACTGTGACCACCGCCATGGCCACCATTATCACCCCCAGCTCCACCACCATCGTCACCATGAAAATATACATAATAATAATTATAATAATACTGACAAAACAAGTTAACAGACATTGCTGATTTTCAAGATTATCCAGTAACCTTATGAGGTAGGAATTATTTTTACTCTTACTTGATGGATGAGAAAAGTGAGTATCAAATGCAAACAATTTCTTAATTTATATTTGTTTCCATTTTAGAAATAAGATGATACAGGGCTTTTGTTGGGTATGTTCTTTGTCCCTCCAGATCCACATTCTACCTTCTCCTTCCCTGCTCTGTAGCACAAAGGCTGGCGTCGACAGACTGCCTCATCTAGGCTCTCTTGTCCTCCAGCATTCAGCTGAGTTCAGCCAATGGGAAACAGCAGCAGGAGACTGGAGGAGGGGACAGGGGAAGACTGGAATGTTTATTCCCACCCCATGCTGCTATTTTCTAGTGGGCTGTTCTTCCTATAGGATGACTTTCTCCTACAACCACAGTTCTCCCCCTTTCTTCTGCTAACCTAAGAAGTAACAGCTCCGAGCTCTGCTTTCCTTAACCGCGCTCTCATCTCTGAGGTAAGTACTTTTTGATGACCTCTATAAGTATGCCACCTGTTTCTTGCCTGCACTCTGAATGATGCGATGTAATATATAATATTCAATACGGAATACAATATACAATTGCTAAAAACGGGAAGGAAGGAAGGGAAGTAACTTGATTTCTATCACCAAAATAAAGTCACTATTATAATTTTGGTGTGTTTACTTTCAATCTTTGTTTTCTATGCAGGTTTTTGTAGTCGTTACTGTGATATGCATGTATTCATACTCCCTACTTTTTCATTTTGTTCAGTTACCAGTTATTTTTTAACATTGCTGAGTCTGCATGACCATTATTTTTAATGACCGGGTAATATTCTGTGGAGAGTTCTTTTAATAGGTTTTGTTGTTATAAAAGATGCTTTTCCCACAGTTCAGTTGTACATATAATAGGTTCCCTGAAGTATGATTTTTGGGTCAAAGGAAATGAATGTTTTTGATTCCCAATCTTGTTCCCAAATTTCAAATCAAGGGATATCTATCATTTTGTAAAGGAGTCACAATTATTTTCATAATTGTTTTTCTCTCATATGTTTTTTACTTCCTGTAGGGAAAACAGAAGATCCTATGGCCAGGATTCTCACTTCACCGTGATCTACTTGATGATGTAATTGACCTACCATGTAGGGTGATGCTTATACACCCACTGGCAATGAGCCGTTATTGAAACTTGCCAGAGGCAGACATAATTCTGGGACTCAACCTGCCACAGTGAGAAAAGGCTTGGTATAAACCCTTTTACACACAACGTTCCCATTGTAACTATTCAGTCTCACCAAATCCAGAGTGAACTTGCCCGGGGGCAATCCCCCTCAGGAAGACGTTTGGCATAGTTGGCAGGATTTGTTGCAAACCAAAAATAAATGGAGTAAGATGCGCTCATGGGAAGGGTATTTCAGCAGGCTGCCTCTATGGATGGGGAAATACTTCAGGATTCCCCTATGGACTGAGATACTTGGGTGTCCCCAATGAGCACATGGCCTGAGGAGGTGGTCTTCCTAGAGGAGTGGGCCCCTCCCCAGGACTGGGAGGGAGTGGAGATGACACCTGGGGCCGTGGTGGAGGCCCTCAATGAGATTGAAAAATCCTTAAAGAAACAGGATGCTCACCAGCTGATGGTGGTGGCAGCTGTGGGTTGGCTATTTCTCAGTGTTAAGAAAGGCCATTAAGGAGAAGGACATACTCCTGTGAGAAGCATGAGAAGAGGCAGCACAAGAATGCAGGCTGCAAGGTGCTATGGGGGAGATAAAAGATTTTTTGATGACTGAGATGGCGTTGCTATGAGGTCTTATGGAGATGGCAAAGGATGTGATGACAGCCCAAGAGAGCACAAGAACACAGGCTGTGAGGTACCGTGGAGGAGGTGAAAGATTCTTTGCAGAATAAGATGGCTCCACTGCAAGGCATTGCGGAAGAGGCAAAGGCTACAAAGCAGAGGATGAACTCCTGCGAGAAGCACGAGAAGAGGTGGCATCAGAATGCCAGCTGTGAGGTATTGAGGAGAAGGCAAGAGAGATGTTAAAGACTGAGGTAGTGTCACTGCAAGGTACTGTGGGGAAGGTCAAGGATATAGCAGAGGAAGCCCTTTGTGGAAGGAGAAATCTTCCATCAGACCTAGAAATGGTGGAGGAGTCAGAGGAGAACAAGGAGGTAGGGTTGGTGCTGGAGGTATTAACCATTCCTCTCTTGAAATCTTGCCTGGTTGTAGTCAGAAAATAACAAACAGCCACCACGGGTTCCTCCAGGAGAAGCGAAGTATCCTCCCCAGGTCATGGAGCACTCCATGCTCTGTCCCTATACACATGTGGAACTGGTGGATTTGGGCTCCTTGTTTTGGCAGAAACCCTAGAAGTCCATATCAGCCTGGTTTTTGTGCCTTTGGGATGTAGGGGTGGATGGGATCATTGCGTCTGGATCGGAGATGGGAAAGCTGGCTCCCTGACAACTCACCCTGCCTTGCAGCAGTGACTGCAGAATGCACACCAGACCCCAGGGAACCATTCTCTTCTTGAATGGGTAATGGCTGCCCTTCACACTGTGTGGCCCAGTCAGGGTGACTTACCATCCTCCCCTACTAGATGGCAGATGTTTGTTGAGCTCCAACAGTTGTTATAGGAGTTGGGCATGAAAAATGCCATTTTCTGGTGAATTATGGCCTGGACCAGGAGCCATTTATGGGATGAGGGATACAGTGCTGTAAACGGCTCCTTCATCCCTCTTTGAGCCCTCAGTGGCCATTCTTGCCCTTTATTTAGGGCAGCCCATAAATGTGGTTACCTGTACCATGGCAGATTTGGGGGAGGCTGAAGCGATGTGAGCATGGAAGGGCATGAAGGTCACAAGGCCCCAGATTTGGGGTGATTTAATACAGGCAGGAGCTGAGAGAGAGAAATTGGGTGGGAAGTCAAATAGAATCTTACTAGAGCTGCGGCAACAAAGGTCAGAGCAGTGGTTTCAGTCTCTGAGGACCAAGAAGTGGAGGCTGAAGACAGAGCCACAAGCCAGGCCTGTGTTCCCGTCTGCAAGACTCCCTGCTGAAGAGTGAACTGACCTCACCTGAACTCACACAGGAAAACAATTGGGAGATACGGTTTGACTGAGGGGAGTGTCAAGGCACCCACTTTCGAGGACAAGGTGGGGATTGGAGGCCACATGTTGAAATATCAGTTATTGGTCCCCAGAGAATGTACAATGTATCCTCTATCTGGTAGACAGAGGAGCTGGATTCTTACTGATTTGGCAATACTGAGCAGTGTCCTGGGACCCCTACTATTATAGATGGATATGGGGCTAAGGCTATCAGAGTGAATCAAGCCCAAATACTATTGGGGATAGGGCATCTACTCACATAGGAGTATACTGTGTATATCTCTCCTATCCCTGAATATATTTTGGGGATAGATATCCTGCAGGGCCTATGTTTGCAGACCACCACAGGTGAGTTCAGACTGAGGATACATGTGGTGAAGGCAGTTCTGAGGGGACATGCTCAGCACCCACCCATAGCTTTGCCTGTGCCTTGGTGGGAGGCTAATACCAAGAAATACAAATTGCCTGGAGGGCATAAACAAATTGGAGAAATGCTGCAGGAACTGGAGAAAGAGGGTATTATAAAGCCCGTTCATAAGCCTTTTAATTTCCCGATGTGGCCAGAAAAAAAAACTGGATGCCTCCTGGAGTAAGACTGGATTACAGAGACTAAATAAAGTCATACCCTCTCTGCATGCTGCCATCCCCTCTATTGCAGGCCTTATAGGCACCCTCAGTCATTAACTAGGGACATATCATTATGTTGTAGAACTTGCTAATGTCTTTTTTTGACAAAGGATAGGAAAGTCAGGAAAAGTTTGCCTTTATGTAGGAAGGATGGCAATAGACATTCTCTTCCTATGTATTTTTTCTTACTGTTTTCTGAATTCAGCATTGAACTTGCTTTTATGATTTGCAAGATAAACATTCAGGTTTTTTACTCCAGTAGAGGATTTCTTAAAGTTTTCCTGAAAGTTTTTCACAATCTAAATGAATATTTACTAATAAGCATATCAAAATTTTGATATTTTGTGCACCACAGATTTTTGTTGTATTAATTTTGATTTTTTAAAATAGTGCCTTACAATGTTTTTTATCTTGATAGGTGAGTTTTTGGCATCCCCTTATGTTGTGTTTCAAGGCAAGTGTCTCACTCACCTCCCCGTCATCCTGAACCTGAGGCTCATCTCATACCCATTTTGGCACCTCCAGCCCTTAGCATGGATTAGCCACCTGCAAAGCTCACATTACCTCTTGTTTGTTTGTTGATGTGATTTATTATGCTACATCTTCCGTATGGAGGGTTTTGAGAGAGACTGGTTAGCTGATGGGCATGAATCACTTCCCTGTCCATAGAAACAGACTTTCCCATGCCCTCCACTGCCCAATGTCTGAGTAAATGAAGCATTTCTGAGGGAAGCCTTCTGTAAATATGCCTTAGAGCACTCTGTTTGATTATCTACTTCATTATGATTGCCTTCCCTCATACAAATGCTATCTAAATATTATGATGAGAAATAAAAACAAAACAAAAATACTGGAAGATGAAAAAGGAAAATTGGCAATCCATTCTTCTTTCTCCAGGATTAAGTGTTGAACAAAAGCATAAAACAATTACAGTTTCACTTAATTGACTGCAGCTGTGCAAATAGACTAGCACACTAGGAGGCTGGTGTCCTTCTATCCCACCCCATGAACATCTTGATACCTGGGTTTATTTTTCACTTTTGCCCAAGGCAGGGTGTCTGCAGGAAGAATGAAACCATGCTCAGTGGTTGAGAGGGGGAGGGATATATCCTTTTGTAATAGTCAATCTGGACCTTTAGCCCATGGTATTTAATTACATTGAGGTTTTAATTTCCAGGACTCCCTTGTCAAGAGGAAAAGAGCCATCAGGTGTCAGAATAGACTAGTGAAGTTCATAGTAATGATCTGCTTTCTAAGCTTCATCTTACATGTAGGGGATGGGAATTTTATTTTTGTTGGCCAATGTGTGTCAGACACTTCAAATTTGTTGTGATCTCATTTTGTCCTTGGAACTATGTGTGATTATCCTTATTCTATAGATGAGGATGTAAGGGGTTAGAAATAGTTAATGACTGAAGGTTAAACAATTTCTCTAACTAGTGGCAGGGAATTTAGGATTTGGACTTTTCATTGTTTAACTCTGATGTCCATGGTCTTTCTCCGATATCATGCTCCATAACCAGCATTATCTGCAAAGCTCCTTGGAATCTACCTTCTGTCTTTTCTCCTTATTTCTCATCTTCTACTTACTTTCTAAACCCCCAACCTCCCCTCCATTCTTGTGTTCTCAGTTACCCCATTCTCTAATCCTGTTATCTGTCTCTGTTGGCAGAAGCCTCCCTTATGGTATGACAATCTTTATGAGATCCATGAGAGTTTAAGGCTGAAAGGCATTAACAGAAAGGATCTCCCCAAAGGGAAGAGCAAATGAATCTTGGTATTTGTAAGATCCTTAGTACTCTAGAAGAGCACTTTGTACATAAGAAAGTGTCACCTGTGTTCAATAAATACATTTTTAAAAACACATACAAGAACCTTAATACTTAAATTTCTATTTAATAAATTATTAGATTGCAATCATAAATTACAGTTTTACTATAATTCTTGTTAGTGATTTCTAAGATACCAGTGCGACATATTACGCTTTACATTTCTCAGCCTCTTTTTAGTTAACAGAATCTTGGATCTTTACTTGCCAGTGTTTATTTAAAAAATTGAATAAAAAAATTAAAAATAGAACTAAGGGATCCAGCAATATGATCCAGCAATTCCACTTCTGGGTAGTTACCTGAAGGAAACAAACCTCTAACTTGAAAAGATATCTGCACCTCCATTTTTGTTACAGCATTATTCACAACAGCCAAGACATGGAAATAGCCTATGTTCCTGCATAAATGAATGGATAAAGAAGATGTGGTGTATATACACAGTGGGCTATTATTCAGCCACGAAAAAAGGAGGAAATCCTGTCATTTGCAACATGGATAGACCTCGAGGGCATTATGCTAAATGAAGTATATCCAAAAGAGAAAGACAAATACCACATGATCTCACTTATACGTGGAACCCAACCACCCCACCCCCTGCCACACAAACAAACATATGAGTTTATAGGAGAGAGAACACTGTTGGTTCCCAGAGATTGGGGATGGAAGGGTGGTGAAATGGGGTGAAGGTGCTCAAAAGGTACAAACTTCCAATTATAAAATAAAAAATTTCCTGGAGATGTAATGTACAACACCGTGACTACAGTTAATAATATTGTATTGTATATTTTAAAGTTGCTAAGAGAGCAGTTCTTAAGAGTTCTCATCACAAGAAAAAGTTGTATAACTACTGTGATGATGAATGTCAACTAGACCTACTGTGGTGATAATTTCAGAATATATACATATATTTAATCATTACATTGTGCACCTGAAACTAATATTACATGTTAATTACATCTCAATCTTTAAAAAAGACCCTCCCTGATTGGATTATGGGCAAGGGATGCCCCAGAGGCGACTGTGATAAAGGTGCTTTTACACTGGCAGAGGGCAGTGCTTACTCCGTGGAAACTGGGGAGCATCCCTATTTGTCTTGTACTGGAAGCACCTCTGGGGATCTCAGTAAGCCCTGGGCTAGTCGGGGAAATGACAGAGAAGCAAAAGTCTGCTTCACATGAGAACCAGCTTTCCAGCAACTAGAGCTGCCCAAATATGGAATGGGCCGACACAGAGAGCACTGAGCTCTCTGCCTTCAAAATTATTTAAGGGGAGCCAACATAGAGAACGGTTAGGAAGCCTAGAGAAGTTTCTACTGCAACCTCAAAGTCCCTAGCTTGTGGGTTCAAAGAATCTCCCCACCAACCAACCACTACTCCCTAAAAAAGAAAAGTAGATAGGTAAATAAAGACAACTTTAAAAAAGGATTGGTCCAGAGTAAGCCAGGAGGGTTAAAGCATGGGAATGTATCTTGTCTTTATTGGGCACTTAGCATCTTTGTGAGGTCAGGGCATGAGGCACTGAGTCCAAAGCTCTGAACTTGGAATCAGAAGTGCTGGCTTATTCATGAAACACTGATCAGCTGTTTGATCTTAGAAAAGTCCCTTGCCCTCTCTTAGCCTAAATTTTCTCTTCTTTTAAAATGAGATTGAGACACCTGATAGATATCTCAAGCCCTTTTGAACTCTAAAGTTGTTGATTCTGTGGTAATGTGTGCTTATAATTAGGGATATTTTATACATTCAGCAAGGGTATTTATCAGCTCTAGAAGGTACTAATGTCAAACAACCTCCTGCAAACACATTCTCTTCATACATATCCCAGAGCTGGGTCGTGGTGGTGGTAACTATTAGCATCTCTTCACGTCCAAGAGACCCCTTGCACAGTGCCTTGTATCCTCAGTCCCAGGGACATGTTTGTGTGGAAACGTGACTTGCAGGCTTTGAACCAAACCCAAAGGAATGTTTCAGGTTTATTCTTGGCAAAGTCCTTCTTTCCCTGCTCCCTAATGAAGGATTGGAAGGCCAAGAGAGGCCTCACATGGCTCTTCTTGGCCATTGCCTCCCTGTTTAAACAATGGCTGGATGCGTTCTGTAGGAAGAAAAGGAAACATATGGATTGAATTTCCCCCTAGTGCTCTGTGGCCTGGGAGTGGATTGGAGGCTGGGTGTGGGGGTTGGTAGAGAGGAAGGCTGTGGCACAGCACACCGGGGAACTTACTGAAACCTGTCCCGTGAGAAGTGGTGAGATGGGGACAGGGGGTCAACTACTAGATGTAGCCAGGTGCGCTCTGAACCACCCGTGGTGGGACAGGCCTCTACAGGAGATCATTAGAAATGGAAAAGTAAGTAAAGTGATGTAATGAGAAGCAGGGGAAGACACCATCATCAAGTCAGCAAAGATATCCAAAATTTCTGGAGAGTCCTGAGGGTCTGAATGCTGGGATATCCTTCTTTAAGAAGGCAGGTCTGGCTCTATCCAGCGTCTTGTGCAATGGGATTGGAAGTTTGGGATCTAATTAAGTTTAATTAGAATAGCATTAAACAATATGTATGAATCCTCCATCTCTTGCCAAATCACTCAGGACTCCTCAGATGGAGAGTCAGGATGGGGCCACTCCCATCGGCATTGTAGATGTATGTGCAGCTGGCAGCTTGGAGGGTAAGCAAAGGAGAGTTTGGATTGCTTGAGAGTCAAAAGTGCATCTTTGTGCTTTTGCACATGTTGTGTTTCCATTTACAAAGTCCTCTCATCCTTCTCTGGTTGTACAACCAATCCTTCCTGCCCCTTTGATGCCTGAACTTCCTGCTATGGTGCCCATGCCAGTAAGATTACAATCCTCATATAAACCATATAAAGCTCCCTTGCCACATGTGCATGAGGTCTGGGAATAATCAGTAGCTTT